TTCCCGGCAGGTCACCCAAGAGGCCGCGAAGATGATCGCGCTTCACGCGTCGCGATCTCCAGGAGTGGCGGCACGACAGAGCGAAGGGCGTGGAATTAGCGCGGGTCGCGCATCGCGGGGCGCGATGCGCGAAGTCGGGTGACCTAGATCGGCGAAGGGATTTGGTGCATAGGCGCCCCAGCATCTCACATACAACCGTCGCTCCACCACAAGGAGCTCACAATAAGGAGCGAATGGGCTTCGCTGGCCACGGTGGGCCTAGGCCACAATCAGGTTCCACGGCATAAAGCTGAGGAGCGGCCCGAAAACCCTGGCCCAGGCGACTCGGTGTGCACTTCGATCCCCTCCCGGCGGATCCCTTCGATCCCAGCGTTTTGCTCCTTCGGGCCCCGGGGGCCCTCCAACACGGATCTGGGGCGCAACGTCAGCCTAGGGGAGGAGGTCGAGACATGCTTATAAGCACCGTCGAGTTTGGGGGGCCCTCGGCTGAGGCGCCACATGCGAACCCTACCCCTACCCCCCTCGACTTCTGAGGGGGAGCGTGGGGCTCACTCCGTTCGGGATCTCCCGAGCGAAGTGAGCCCCACCCAACCTGCGAACACGGACCCCTGAGGGCCCCTCTAGAGACCCCTCCCCAGCCTGAGCCCTTGCGGGCCCGTCTGTTGCCGTAGCCACTGTTATGGTTCGATAGGCCCCCTTCCGCGCGGACGCCCGGGCGCCCTCAGCCGCTATCAGCAGGAGGCAAGATAGAGCATCATCCTCTGGTCCTCTCGAGCTCGACTCCTCTCGCGACCCTCAGGACGGATTCGCAGTGGCTTGAGCCAAACAGCAGCGAGAAGTGAGGAGCACGTGACTGGGCAGGAGCCCGTCACACGGTGACGATGACAGACCAAGGAGGAGGAGCCGCCAGCGTGAAGCGGTTCAGCGGAGACGGCAACGACGGAGCTGCTGCCTACAAAGTGTGGAAGCGTTGGGCGAGGGCGGCGATTGTGGTCCAGAAGGCTAGGGGCACTCCAGCAGAGGCTCTGGGCCCATGGTTGTACACGCTCCTGGATGGACAGGCGGCCCTGGCAGTGGAGAACGTGGACTTGGCGGACATCAACGTGGACAACGGTGAGGAGGTGGTGTTCGACAAATTAGACGAGCGGTTTCCTGAGAAGGTGGCAGCGGATCGTCTCGGAGAAGCGATGGAGGAGGGCTTCAGCCTGCGCGTCCAGAAGCAGGAGACGACGGAGGCCTACACCGGGCGCGCGCAGCTTGTGTACGCGCGGCTGGCCAAGGAAGGCGTGGACCTGCCGTCGGTCGCCAGAGGCTACCTGATTCTGCGCGGTGCTCGGCTGGGACCCTTTGGTCGTGCGACGGTGATGTCGGCGACCCATCGGAGCTGGAACGTGGAGGAGGTGTGCACGGCGATCAGGACGGCGTTCCCAGGAGTTCCACCGGAGAGGCTCACGCAGATGGCGTTCGCGGTGGAGGAGGAGCACGGGGACACCGAGCTCGGCCCGCCGCCGGAGCCCTACCAGGAGGAGAGCGTGGAGGACGACATCACAGACGAGATCGACGCGATCGTCCAGGCGGCGGAGCCGATCGACGAGGCGGACGCGGTGGAGATCCTGGCGACGTGGAAGCAGACACGCACGGCGATGACCAAGGAGAAGTTGGACCGCGGGCTCAGGCCTCAGTGGAAACCCCGACCAGGACAAGGAGGTCATGGTGGACCGACCCGGCACGACCTCGACAAGCTCGGCCGTAGGGTGAAGTGTTTTCGGTGTAAGAAGATCGGCCATTTCAGCAGGGACTGCAAGGAGCCCCTCCCGGCCCACAGCTCGCAGATGGTGTTCGTCGAGCCGATGGACGAGGAGGACCAGGAAGAAGCACGAGTCCAGGCAGTACTGGGAGCTGCTCAGGACGACGAGGTCACCGACGGGGACTTAGACTACGAGATCAACAGCATCCTGAAGGTCCACGAGGACAATGTGCTGGCGAGGCTCATCCAGCAGGAGCGCCGGAAGCGGCTGGCGCACGAGATGAAGGAGCAGCAGGAGGACGAGTACGCGTCGGTCGAGAAGAGGGCCGCCGAGGAGGGGACGGTCCTGGGAGTGACTCACGCCGACGGCTGTTCTGTGCCAGACACGGGGTGCTGCAAGTCCCTGATCGGCGAGGAGACGTTGACCAAGCACGAGGCGGCGACAGGCAAGCAGGCGAGGTGGTTGAAGGACGCCAAGCCGATGCGGTTTCGCGGGTTCGACAATAGTGTGCAGGAGTCGGTCGGTGCTGTGGAGCTGGACTGGGAGATCAAGAACTTCATCGTGACGTTCGTGGTGTACGTGGTCCCGGGCTCCGCAGGTTTCCTGATGAGCAAGCCAGACATGAAGGCTCTGGGCGCGGCCCTGGACCTGGAGACGGACTCGATGTACCTGAAGCGCCTTGGCCTCACGATTCCCTTGAGCGAGACGGTGGCAGGCCACTATGAGATCGATTTCCTGAACCGGGAAAAGAA